TTTCAAGCCGCTCTCGCCTCTCCGATTCTAAACGTTCTTCTCTTTCGTCTCTGTGCCGACGTTCTTCTGACTCGACACGACGATCACTGTCCTTCTGCAGCAGAATGATCAGACGCATCAACTCACTGCTGGATCATGCTTGTTTGCTTTCGAGTTCGTCGACGTCTCGTTGTATCTCTTCCAAGAGCTGCTTAACGCGAAATCATTTTTTTTTGGACGTACGACGTGCTGTTAGAGACTCCATCGGATTTTGCGGCGTCGGTGGCTGGACGCTTACCGCTCTGATTCAAAACGTCCTGCGTCATAGTGTCAACGTTGTCTCGGAAGACGCGCAAATCTTGTTCTCCCAGCCGATTGCTGGTCATATGCAGATTTTAGTTGTCGTTGAGTTCCTGAGTGTCTTTGCGTGCACGTCTAGGATCTCTACAAAGTGTGGGTCCATCCGGTGTTGCTACAGTTTGTATCGGTTGTCGGAGAGGTGTCTTCGGTCGTCATGCAGCTGCTCGAGACGTTGAAATCGTGTGAGAACGAGATGCAGCTTCAGTTGGTGAGGACAACGACACATTCTGGGATTCTGGGAAGGAGCCGAGGTGGTTGTGTTCGTCAACGGGGAATCGTTGTTGGTCACATCTTCTTGATCTTGGTGGGCTGGTGAACCGCCTTGCTGTGAATCCAAATTGTTTGCAGCAGCTTCATCCTCCTCATCGTCGGATTCGTCAGCAGATAGGTCATATAAAGATGCTAAGTTAACATCAATAGTACCCGTTCGAGTTACAATAGACCCAACCATTTGAGTATTCGGAGTTGATGCCTCTGAACATTGTGCGTATTGGCGGATCTCATCTCCTCCACGTCCGGGTTCCATCTCGTGACTGTCGTTGTTGTCTTCATCGGTTACTACAACTTCTCCATGATGCACGCCTACTTCATGTATACCGGCGTCGTGGCGTGGCTCGAGCAGACGACGTTGAACCACTACACCTGGTACGCCTCGGGGCAGTCGGTCTTCAAGTGGCTCTTGAACGACAGATCTGAGCTGGGAGCCAACATCCACTGGAGCTAGACTACTTCTAGCTACCACAACCGTCGTTGCCGTTGATGTGGCCTCGTCCACGGTTTCTTTCAGAGTGGCGTCGTCTTCACCTTCATCCAGACCATCGTGAGCTGTGTGGACACCTCCCTCCTCCTCTATCCGGAGTTGTATTTCTTTAGCCCATATGCTGGGTTTCAGTCGAAGCGAAACTTCCCCACTACCAGCCGGCTTTGGTTTCGTGTAAAGGCTCTTAAATTTGCGCCGAAGAGACTCAAAATCACGTTCTGGAGAACCTCGCGTTCGGTTCGCGTTGTATTGGACCGCTACTTGCTCCCACATGTTCCTTCCGAGAGGTAGGAGCTCTTCTGTGACTTGGCAAAGGAGCAATTGGTCTTGCACAGTGTAGTTATTGTAGCCTTGTCGTCTTCCTCGCTGTAGCATAGATAATAACACTCACAATATCAATAAACCGCTATATGAATGTACAACCATCTTTTTGCAAAAGTACGTACTCCTGCCATGGTGACTCGCGAATCGAAAAGTGTTCGAGATCCTGATAATTCAAGAATGATATCAAAGCCAGTCCAAGATACCGAATCGCACAAAAACTTTGTGTTGAAGGTGCAAACATCTTTCGTTCATTAGAGAAAATAAAACCTCGTTCTCGAACACTCCCCTGCTACTACGGCCAAAGCTTGCGAACTGTGTCAGGGTGATGTTGAATATCGCGATGCTGGCAGCCGCTCCCAGTTACAAAGGCAAACAAACCAAAGACAACTCCTTATGACACAGTTACTTCTTCACCAGCGAAAATATCACGGACAGACACAGCGACGACTGTCAGACATGAGCCGGTCTGCACTTCATAAAATCGAGAAGAGTGGTTGCACGAATGATTTAAAGATTTCATTGAACCCCCCTTTCCAACGCGTCAATTCCCATGTGAGTTTTGCCAGTATTTCGGGTTTTCAAGTGCATCCGGAAGCCCTCATTGATGAGGTCATTCCGGTACGGAGGTCCAAAGACCTGCAAATGCCCCAAGTACTCCCCCAAAATTTCTCACGTAGGGATGAACGTCGACGCCACAACACCTGTAGTGGGCCTAGGGCTCACTAGTTAGCTTACACGTGTGCGCACGTGTAGGAGAAAGCGTAGGTGTTCCTAGGTTGAATAGCGTACACACGATGCGTGTGTACGGTAAGACCAGATAGGAGCAAGATAGCATAAAATGAGAACTGTATTGTTTGTTTAAAGGTTTCCTTCCTAAACTGTTTATCAAATATCTAAGGGACTGTCAGCGGGTGGCTGACAGTGATTCGCATCGCTGATTGGTAGAGGTATGGCGGGCTCTACCAATAGGATCCCTTCAAATGTAGTTTTGGTGTGTTCACACACCAAGACGGGAAACCTCTAACTCTAACCGGTTAACGTTACGGTAATAGTTTCGGGTAACCCCGTTACACCACCCCCCGTTAAGATTTGACGTGCTGGTTCACAACACGTCAATCCAAGCCTTGACGAGACCGTCAAGCCTCCGAGAGAACTCCGCGCTCATTCCGCAATGAGCGCCTGTGCAAACACCAGCGTCATTGCCAGCGTCCGCGTCGACCGCAGCGTCGACCTCAGTGTCGACGCCTGCATCCGCACCGACCTTCATGTCGATGGCTGCTTCCACGGCTGTGTCGGCGGCAACGCTGACACCCCCAAGTGGCACGACAGAGAACTTCTCTGTCGACAAGTACTTCGAGTTCCAGGAGAAGAAGCGCGCTGAGGATGCCAAGACAGTCTGTCCGTCGACTGTCTTCGTAGGTTCGTCGGTCCACGCGACTGACGGCGGCATCCCGTTGGAACGTGCCACGGACAGAACTATGTGTCTGCCTGCGACGTCGCGCGCTCTTCATATGGTCAACCCCGGGTTGACCACTGGCTTCTGGCTTTCTGAGAAGCAAAAAATCGCGTCTTGGACAAAGTCCAGCACTTGAGAGCTGAACCCCGGGTAGAGCTTGTTGACCTTGTGTGCGTCCGTGCCCTCCACAGACACGCACCTTGTGCTCGCGTCAGTCCCAGACTATGCGTGGCTCTTTGTAGCGTCAGTGCCTGGCACTGACGTATTACTTGTGCTCACAGCAGGATGTGAGTCTTCTCTGTATCACTGATACTACATACGTGATCGCAACAGACCCTGTCTATGCGTGAGACTTCTCAGTATCAATACCCTGTATTGATACATCACTTGTGCTTGCAACAGGCTCTGCCTGTGCATGGTTCTTCGTGGTGTCTGTGCCTGGCACAGACCCGTTACCATTGGTCGTAGCAGGTTCCACCGGTTCGTAGTTCTTCACAGTGTCGGTGCTCGGCACTAACACGTCACCTTGCGCCACAGCGTGGCACTGTCTCGTGCGGGCTCTCGCTCGCGCACGTAACTTCACTGTGTCAGTGCCCAGCACTGACACATCTTCTTCTGAGGCACCGGGCTGCCTTGTGCGGGCTCTCGCCCGCGCACACGTTATTACAACTGATATGTCCGTATCAGTTGTCTTCTGGCATCGGGTTGCCCTGTGCGGGCTCTCGCTCTCGCACACGTCCTTACAACGGATATGTCCGTATCAGTTGTCTTCTGCGGTTGATCGACATCAACCGTAGCGCCCCTCCCCCACTTAAAAAGGAAAACACACGTCTTCCTTACATCGTAAAGTAGACGTGCGCACGGTACTAGTGTGCACTTGCTCGTAAGTGAAAGGTGAACTTCCGACGTACCATGTCGGAAGGAGCTGAGAGAAACTCGATCAGCTTCGTGCGTCTGCGTCAAGTGCAAACGCAAACGCAGCCTTCTCCGCGGATTTTTTTTCGGTCGTCGTGACAACACGTGTGCGACGACATTCGACCTTCCGGGTTTTGTGGACTCGGAAGTCGTACACCAGGGGGAGACAACCATCGCGCCCTAGGGACGAGATGTGCAGCGACTTCATCGTTGCCCGCAACGTCGCCTGGTCGGTATAGACTACGAACGACGTGTTGCCGAGTCATCGCACTCGGCACTTCTGGGGCGTATGCTTCATGACAAGGGTTTCCTTGTCATGCACTGGATCATCAACGCGCATCCGATCGCGAAAACGTATGTATACGGGAAAAGGGACGATTTTGGACAACCACTGCCAAGCTCGACGCAGCAGCCAAGCCCAGCTTGGCCGCATCTAACGGCTGCGACGACGCAGCGGTCCATTTCCGTGCGCGTTTCATCTTCCCGTTCACAGGCCGGCTGTGAACGAATATTATGTAGAAGCAGTTCGGTGCGAAGTCGCGCACCGAACACAAGCAATGCGTCGCGCACCTTGCTTCATCCCGCGACAGTAGCCACTGGCGCGTCGGGATACTTCTTCCGCAGGAGTCTCGTCCGAGAGCACATCCATGTGCTCTCGCAGAATCGTGCAACTCTGCTTGTCGAAGCATTCCTGCTTCGTCTTGCTACCGAGAGTATCAGCATTCTCCGTGGGGCTTCCAGGGAAGAGTGCTTCAACTCCTCCGCTTCGCTTGTCATTTTCTCGGCGTCCAAAAATCGCGGTCCGAAAGAATGCATAGCTGTTCGATGCGTCCATCGTACAGGTCCTTTGCGAAGCGCTTCCAGCTCATGACTGGAAGCGATGTCAACTCCGACGTATCAGTCGGAGGGTTCTCCAGCTCCATCTTCTTGTACTGGTACGCAGCACATGCCCGTGTCAGACGTTCAACGTCTCGACGGCCACTGTTGGCTCTTGTGTCTGCCCGGCAGACATACCATGAAGAGTCTCGGTCCGGGACCGAGACTTGCGCAGCGTCATGAGCTTACGCCGTCACTTCTTCATGTGAATCCCGGATTCACTTGTGTTTCGTCCAGGCCCGCCCATGGACGAATGTTTCTTGATACCACCGGCAGACCTTCCAGTCTGCGGGCGATCGCCGGCGAGTTCTTGTACCCGCGGGCACGCGTCATCAAGCCCGGCTTGATCGCACCCTGCTACCCACACAGCTTGTCGCATCGACTCCCGGAGTCGATGCATTGTCGTCTCCTCTACGCCTTACGGCGGAGCAATGTGTCGCAACTCCCGGAGTTGACACACCGTTGTCACCTCAACGCCTCACGGCGGGGAACTCTCTCGACTTTGATATCGAGTGCGTGTCAACTCCCAGAGTCGACACGCTGTTGTCACCTCGACGCCTTACGGCGGAGAGTTTCTTCGTAGGGTCTGGTCCCTGACCAGACACTCCTTTTCTGTCAACGACTCCCGGAGTCGTTACAGCACGCGGACTCCATGCGCTACGGCTGGAGACAGCAGCGCGAGCCACTGTCTCTGAAGGAGGTTCGGACGCACTGTTAAGTGTATCCGCTACGCTAACAGGGCCATCGCTCTCTGTTGCGCCGCGGTATCCGAAGCGTACGACCGTGCGCTTCTCCCAGTCGATAATAGGATCATGCCGTGCAAGCCACGGCATGCCCAACACCATGTCGAACTTGTTGTCCAAGTCCAGGACGAGAAGTTCTTCCACAAAACCCCGGTGTTTGTACGAGAATCGTGCGCGAATTACGCGCTTCTCGGTCTTCACGGTGGCACCCGTTGCAATCGTGCTTCCAACTGACTTCGAGGCACATGCTTCTCCTCGAAGTCCAACAACGGCAGACATTGCTGTCGAACAAGTTGCTCGACACGTCCGAGTCTGCGAATTCTCGAAGAGAGTCCGCTCTCTTCGTCATCGACTTAGCCTTCAAGATGATAAGATTGGGCATGCTATCTTGCACTTTACAGTGAGATTCCTTCTCACTGGGGGCTGCAATCCTCAATACCGCGTGTCCGTTGTAGACACGCGTGACTGCAATACCAGTAGGGCGCCCCGCGCCTACTGATCCGTCGCGTTGTTTGTTCGCCCGTGACGATATACCCTGTATCGCCACGTCGACCTTGGACCGAGTGTACTGATGTCGTACACTCGCGTGCATAATGTCCGACGTTTCCGCACCGGAAGCATCGCACGTTGGCTCTCGTCCCCTGCTGCCCCGCAGCAGTTGCACTTGGAATGTCCATTGGTTCTGGACCTTCCACCTTATCCGCCACCTCAACCGCTGGTTCGGGCGGGAGTGGAACGTTCACATGTAGTTTAGCCTACCGCAGGTTAAACAGTACTCGGGTACTCTCGGAAAAGATAGGTCTTCACAGGCCCATCCTCCGGCCCCTTCATGAGCGTGACGACCTTGGTCGTCTCGTCAATCGGATTGGTCACGACGTTTGAGACC